GTGACGGGGAGGCAGCCCTTAGACCGCCGATCTTCAAGCCGAGCCCTCAGTCTCCCGCGAACCAGACCCGGTGCAGGCGGGGCGGGGCAGGGCAAGACAGGAAGCCGACGGAGGCAAAAATGTTCTTCAGACGCTGGCGGAGTGGCGGGTTGACATGGCTGCCGACTCGCGCATGCGCAGAAGCGCACTTAGGCTTCCTCTTTCGGCGCTGCAAACGGTGTATGGGGCGAGGCCCGGGAGGCGGGACTTGAGGTGAAGGGGGTGGAGCGGGGAGGAGCAGGGTGCGAAGGAGCGCGAAGACTGGTTCCAGCCGCAAGTGGATGAGAAATCCTAGTTTCTTCATGATTGGGAGTAAACAGAGAAGAAATAGAACCCTGGACTGGACTTGGATGACTCGGCCTGACGGGCGGAGCTGGGGCTAGACCGGACCTAGGGGCGTGGCTTTTTAAATACTCCAAGGGGCGGGGCTAAGGGTGGAACCAGATTGGGAGGGGGCCTTGGTTGAAATTCCTAGTGGGTGGAGACGAGGGCTAGGGGCGGGGCGGGGCTTAAGTGACTAGGCCTAGGGATGGGGCCAAGGCTAGGGCTTCCCATTCAGGTTCTCAGCCACCACGGATACAGGATGCTCATCAATCGGGTTTATACCTATCCTCCACGTTGCTACAGCCCTGTACACAGGACACATTAATTTGCAACTCTAATATGACACAGACTGTCCTTCCATTCATTCAGTCCTTTTGGGCCTTTCAGTTTTCCCTTTCGTTGTTGTGTTGATAACTTCTCCTATAGAGGGAAATCATTGATAATTATTTAAATACAACCTTTTACCTGGAAACTTGCTGAATTCTGATAGCTGTCAGTTTATTATTTGGAACATCAAATATAAATATTTTCTATGCTTATTTTCATTGTTTTAATATGTATAACTCATTTCTTTTTCTTTTTGTGAGGCAATGTCTCAATCTATCGCCCAGTCTGGAGTGCAGTGGCGCGACTATGGCTCATTGCAGCCTTGACTTCCCCAGCTCAAGTGATTGTCCCATCTCAGCCTCCCAAGCAGCTGGGACTATAGACGCATACCACCCCACCCAGCTATTTTTTATTTATTTATTTATTTATTTATTTTATTTTACTTTTTGAGACGGAGTCTCGCTCTGTCGCCCAGGCTGGAGTGCAGTGGCTGGATCTCAGCTCACTGCAAGCTCCGCCTCCCGGGTTTACGCCATTCTCCTGCCTCAGCCTTCCGAGTAGCTGGGACTACATTAGCTGGGACTACAGGCGCCTGCCACCTCGCCCGGCTAGTTTTTTGTATTTTTTAGTAGAGACGGGGTTTCATCCTGTTAGCCAGAATGGTCTGGATCTCCTGACCTCGTGATCCGCCCGTCTCGGCCTCCCAAAGTGCTGGGATTACAGGCTTGAGCCACTGCGCCCGGCCTTATTTATTTTTTTTGAGACACAGCCTCTCTCTGTTGCCCAGGCTGGAGTGCAGTGGCGTTATCTCAACTCACTGCAACCTTCGCCTTCTAGGTTCAGACGATCCTCCTGCCTCAGCCTCCCGAGTAGCTGGGATTACAGGCATGCGCCATGACGCCAGGCTAATTTTGTATTTTTAGTAGAGACGGAGTTTCTCCATGTTGGCCAGGCTGGTCTCAAACTCCCGACCTCAAGTGATCCACCCGCCTTGGCCTCCCAAAATGCTGGAATTACAGGTGTGAACCACCGTGCCCGGCCCATAGCAGTGTTATTAACATCACGTAACCACTACCATGATGAAAGTAAACAGTTATTCTCATTCCTCTAAAAAACTCTGTAGTGCTGCCTCTTTTTAGTCAAACTTTTCCCTCATCATGAATTCCTGCAATATTTCTTACAGTTTATTTTTCCAAAAATGTCTTATGCAGTATGTAGCATTCTGCTTTTCACAGAGCACAACACATTTCAGATTAGTCATGTCATATTCTTGACTCACAGTTAAGAATGTCTATTGTTTGTTCTTTTCTGTTGCTGCGTAGTATTCCATGGCTTACATTTACTACCAGTTGTAGGACATTTGGATTGTTTTCACTTTTTGTGAATAAAACTGCTATATACATTCGTACATGATCATTTTTTTGGTGGCAAAATATATATAACATAAACGACACCATTTTAACTCTTTTTTTTTTTTTTTTTTTGAGACGGAGTCTTGCTCTGTCACCCAGACTGGAGTGCAATGGCATGATCTCTGCTCACTGCAACCTCTGCCTCCCGCGTTCAAGTATTCCTCCTGTCTCAACCTCCCAAGTAGCTGGGATTACAGACGCCCACCACCATGCCCAGCGAATTTGTGTATTTTTAGTAGAGACAGAGTTTCACCAGGTTGGCCAGGCTGGTCTCAAACACCTGACCTCAGGTGATCCACCCGCCTCAGCCTCCCAAAGTGCTGGAATTACAGGTGTGATCCACCGTGCCCAGCCTTTTTGTGTGTGTGTGTGTGTGTGTTTGAGACGGAGTCTCACTGTGACCCAGCCTGGAGTGCAATGGCGTGATCTCCGCTCACTGCAACCTCTGCCTCCCGGGTTCAAGCTATTCTCCAGCCTCAGCCTCCCAAGTAGCTGGGATTACAGGCACCTGCCACCACACCCAGCTAATTTTTGTATTTTTAGTAGAGACAAGGTTTCACCACGTTGGCCAGGCTGGTCTTGAACTCCTGACCTCAAGTGATCTGCCCACCTCAGCTTCCCAAAGTGCTGGGATTACAGGTGTGAGCCACCGCACCCAGGCAAAAGTAGGCGTTTACTGTAGCAAGAAAGCACTCCACAGGGTGAGAGTGGGCCTAAGCAAGTGGCTCAAAGTCCCTTTCACAAAGTTTTTTGGGGTTTAAGTACTCCTTTTGAGGTCCCCACTGGCTATCCCTTATCTGGATGGAGGATTTGGCCCCTGGCTAAATAAAGGCTGAGATGAATTGGCCTGCAGACAACCAGAGGCTGGAGCAGATTGGTGCCCCACACAGATGAAGGGGGTAGCCCCTGCTTGGCCCACGGTCACTCCAAGGCACTTCCCCTTTCCATGTGAGACGTGGTGGAAGGAGAAGGATCGTAGTGTTAGAAATGCTTGTTGCCCGGTGCTGTAAAGAACTAGCACTTGAACATAATTTAATTTCTTCAGCAAGGCCATTTTTTCACTTTCTGCAGAAAGGGTACACTTGCCAGCAGTTTTGCCACGAGAGTACACTGAACAAAGGAGACAGGGTCATTTATAACCTGACGCGTCCATCCTACTGCTGTGTCCAGTTTCCATTGGCTGGAACAGGACCTCACATTCTGTGTTTGTCCTGATTGGCTAGCAACTTAGGACTTTTTAAAAGGGGCAAAGGCAGAGGAGAACAAAGGAAGGAGGAGGTAACTTGTGGAATGCTGAGAAAGGTAAAAACACCTTCAGATAAGGAAGAGGAACAGGCTATGACCTAATGCTTGCTTGGACCAGTCTAAGCATGCCAGGGCAAATATTTAGGCTAAATTGTGGGAGCTAAGAACATAAAGTCCATTGATTTCTTTATTACGGCTAGCAGATATTTAAGAATGTTAGCACAGGTCTTTCAGTAAATTTTGCTTCTAAGAGAAGTTACTATTTATTCCTAATGAGATGGGCAGGAAAGTCTTTAAAGAGAACCTCTACCTTACTTTTTACAGTAGAGAGAGTAGCCTTCGATCTTGGGAAGATGAGGTTTTTCCTTTTGGTTTAGCTCCAGAAAGTTCGTGTTAATTGGCCTTAGGTTCCCTGCCCCCAGCCCCAGGTGTTTTTTCTTTAATTTTAGGAAATTATTGCGAATTGGCCTTAGATTCCCCGACCCCAGATCTTGGTGTTTTGTCTTTTAGGAAGTCCGCATGAATCTTATCTATGCTCTTATCTACGTGCTAATTTTTGTGGGTTTTTTTTTTTTTTTTTGGCTTTTTTATAGGGATAGGGTTTTGCCATGTTGCCCGGGATGATCTCGAACTCCTGAGCTCAAGTGATCTGCCTGCCTCAGCCTCCCAATGTGCTGGTATCACTGGTGTGAGCCATCAGGCCCAGACTCTATGTGCTAATTTTTGAACCAATTCCAAGTAATAGGAGCTTCCAGTCTCTGGGTGTGAAATGACCAAAAATCAAGTCCTTGCGCGGCAGAATAGTGTCTGGAGGCTGGGAACCTAAGGCTGTTTCATGCCGACGTCCTAGAACTAAATTGAAAGGAAAACCCTAATTTTCCTCGCCTAAGTAACAGAAGGACCAGAGGCTACTCCCTTTGACCTTTTCCGCTGGCAGATAGGAAATTGGCGGTCTGCAACAAATCAGACTGATGGCCGGTTGAGTCTTCCTTTGCAGAGAAGTGTAACTTTGTAACTTCACCCTAGCCTTTGATTGGTTGCTTTTTGCAACCAATCAGATGTTTGCACAGGAGTGTGACCTTTGTAACTTCACTTCAGCCTCTGGTTGGCTGCTTTCTGCAACCAATCAGACTGCGGGCAAACTTCATTTACAGGAGGTGAGCATGAAGTGGCCAATGGTAAACTTCTAAGAGGTATTTGGACTCATGAAGATTCTGCACCATCAGGGCCCTTGAGCTGCTGCTTGGCCAGTTCCCACACCGTGGAGTATGCTTTCGTTTTCAACAAATCCCTGCTTTTGTACATTTGTTGCTTCGTTCTTTCTTTGCTTTGCTGGGCGTTTTGTCTAATTCTTTGTTCAAAACGCCAATAACCTGGACAGCTTGCAGTCAAGACCCTCTACCGGTGACACTTGCCCTCTTCCGGGAGTTAAACAGCATTTCCTCTCTGCTCTGGGTTGGAAAAAGCCGCAGCCGCTTGTGGGCCAGGAACCCGAGGCCCCGCCCCTACGTGGTCCTAGCCTTTGCGCGTGCGCAGCCTGTCTGCGTGTGCGCATGCGCATAACGGCCGCCATCTTAACCGCGCGCTCATTCCGGCGTGCAAGTCTTGGTTTCTCGGCGGCTTCTGGTCTTGTCCCGGTGCGGCCACGCGGGAGTAGGTGGGTCGAAAGGGGAGATGCCCAGTGAAATGGAGCCTCTCCCGTGCACAGTCGGGCAGTTCGAGCGTCCTATGGGCGCTCCCAAGTCGCGGCCCCTCCTCTGAAAGCCACAGTGAGGTCTGTCCTCAGGGGTCGAAGCGGCTGCCTTGGGGCCTCCGTCCTGGAGGAGGCGGGGGTTGGGGGGGCGCACGGCGTTTTCTTTCGCCTTGTTCCCATCTGCAGAAGCCTCATAGGGCCGGGCGCGGCGGCTTACGCCTGTCATCCCAGCGCTTTGGGAGGCTGAGGTAGGAGGTTTACTTGAGGCTAGTTCAAGACCAGGCAGGGCAACATAGGGAGAGCTCCCCCCCGCCCCAAAATCTAATCGGGGGGGGGGGGGAAAAAGCCTCCACATCCAGCGTTGTGCCTTTTCTCCAGAAGGAAGAGCATCTGTACCTTCCTGTTCACGGTGACTTTCGCTTGGCGTCCTCCTGGCCTCACCAGCCTGGCAATTCTGTCGTGTCCGGTGAGCACTTCATGCACTTGTTCTGGCTGTAGGTGTCGGGTCTTGAAGTTTTAAGTTGTATCGAGGTGGAAAGAAACCTTTTCAGGTTGTTCAGGAGCACTTGGATCTGATACCATCGAATGTATGAGTGGGTAGATGAATGCACATAAATGTACAATTTACCATCCAGGGAAAACGCAGGACTGCTCAACTGTGGTTCCAGACTATCACCTCGATCTCGCCCTAGCGCCCTGTAGATTCCCCCAGAGCCTCAAAACAGGAGGGCGTCCCTAGGAACATGATGCGGGCTGATTTACTAGCACGAGTGATTGAATTGATAATGAATGCGGAGATAACTTTCGGCAGGTGGGTTTTCTCCCAGCTATTCATTTATAAGTCTTATCAAGGGCGGGGCCAGGTGGCTCACACCTGTAATCCCAGCGTTTTGGGAGGCTGAGGCTGAAGGATCACTTGAGCCCAGGAATTTGATGCTAACCTAGAAAAAATAGGGCAAACCCCTGTCTCTACTAAAAATTAAAAAAATTGACTGGGCATGGTGGTGTGTGTCTGTGGTCACACCTACTTTGGAGGCTGAGGTGGGAGGATCACTTGAGCCTGGGAGGTCGAGGGTGCTGTGAGCTGTGATTGTGTCACTGCACTCCAACTTGGGCGACAGGGTGAGACCCTGTCTCGAAAAAAACAAAACAAAACAAAACAAATACCGATCTAGAGAAAATCTGTAGCTCAAGTAAAACAAATGTCTAGGCCGGGCGAATCCCAGCACGTTGGGAGGCTGAGGCTGGCAGATCACGAGGTCAGGAGTTCAAGATCAGCCTGACCAACATGAAACCCCGTCTTTATTGAAAGTACAAAAAATTAGCCAGGTGTGGGCGCCTGTAATCCCAGCTATTCAGGGGCCTGAGGTACGAGAATCGCTTGAACCGGGGAGGCAGTGGTTGCAGTGAGCCGAGATTGCGCCATTGCACTCCAGCCCCGGCGACAGTGCGAGACTCCGTCTCAAAATAAATAAATAAATAAAATAAAACTCAAATGTCTTTAACCCTTAACCTACATTCACTAGTTGTTAAGATTTGTTTCATTTTTTTCTGTATATACTTTATGATGAGCCATTTAAATTGGAAGTGAACGAACTTTCCCCTTTAATCTTAAGCATGTATCTTATATACCTCCTAAAAGTGAAGACAAGCTTAAAATAAGACTACATTGTCCATCCTCACCCCCAAATCAAATCACATTTCCCCAGCTGTCCAAAAGTCACCATTATCGTTGCCAGGTTGTTTGCATGTTTTTAGATCTGTTAAATCTGTTTTTGACTAGAATATTCACCTGATTTTTTTTTTTTTTTTTTTGAGACGAAGTCTCCATCTGTCCCAGGCTGGAGTGCAGTGGTGTGATTTCAGCTCACTGCAACTCCTGCCTCAGCCTCCCAAGTAGCTGAGATTACAGGCGTGTGCCACCATGCCCAACTAATTGTTTTTAGTAGAGGCAGGATTTCACTATGTTGGCCAGGGTGGTCTCAAACGCCTGACCTCGTGATCTGCTGGCCTCAGCCTCCCAAAGTACTGCGTAAAACACCGTGCCCCACCATTCACCTGAAATTTAAAAAATAACATTTTGATCTTTGAAGATTTCTGGAGGATTATATTGTAAAATGCTGACATTCTCATGCAATGAGGTTTTCCTGTGATTTTACTTGATTTACCTATGTCCTGTATTTCCTGTAAAGTGGATGTTGGGGTTAGAGCGGTACTGTCTAACACAAATATAATGTAAGGCACAGATGTAATTTTTAAAAATTTTAGTAGCCAAATTAGAAAATGTTAAATGTATGTGTGAAATCATCTTTAAAATACTAAAAATGCAGCATATCCAATTATCAATATGAGTTAATGAAATTAATGACTAATGTCAATATAAAACTGAGACATTTCACGCTTCTTTTGTACTAAGTCTTTGGAATCCAGCACGTATTTTATACTTACAGCTAATTTTCATTGGAAATTCTTGATCTGTATTTAGAGTTTATAAAATTTACTGTTGAAAAAGTAGATTAACAAACGCAGGTTGTTCCAAACATACTTAAAAGTTTTCCAGTAACAATTTTATTTTTAAAGTTGAATTAAAAGTAAATAAATTTAAGAATTCATTTCCTCAGTTGCACTAGCCACATGGGGCTAGTGGCTATTGAGTTAGACTGGCCAGATCCAAGGCTTCCATTTTCTAGGCAATGTACATGGCTTCATATTATATCCTATCAGTAGTCACATAATACAAGTTTGTTAGTGATGCTAAGCATTTGGTCAAGGTACTCATCTCTGTATAGTCACGTTTTTCTTATAGTAATCTATAAGTGAGACTTTGGCCACAGGGGAATAATCTGTTCCCCAACAGCCTTTCACCCCGTGCTTTTGTTTGTTTATTTTTGTTTTGTTGTTGTTGTTTTTTTTGTTTTTGTTTTTGTTTTTTTTTTGACCGAGTCTTGCTCTGCTGCCCAGGCTGGAGTACAGTGGCGTGATCTCGGCTCACTGCGACCTTTGCCTCCCTGGTTCAAGTGATTCTCCTGTCTCAGCCTTCCGAGTAGCTGGGATTACAGAAGTACGTCACCACACCCGGCTAATTTTTGTAATTTTAGTGGAGGTGGGGTTTCACCATATTGGCCAGGCTGGTCTGGAACTCTTGACCTCAGGTAATCCTCCCACCTTGGCCTCCCAAAGTGCTGAGATTACAGGCGTGAGCTACCGCGCCTGGCCTCACCCAGTAGTTTTGACATGACTTGTTTATCTTCTGAACCTGTTGTTACATTGAGAGGTTACAATTTTTTTTCTGAGTTCTGTCATTCTTCCTCCATTCTTTAGCTGACAGTCTTAGGTGAAGAGAAGCTTTCTTTCACCACTTTCACTGCGCTCTGTACTTTTTTTCTTTTTTTGGAATGTCACAACTTATTCTAGTTTTTTTTTTTCATTATCTGTATTATAATCAATTCCTGTCATTTGTATTGATGCTCAAACTGTCCTGAGTTTGACCAATGGTAATCTTTTAAATTTAACTCTGTGTCTTGTGACACAGCTCTACTGAGTGCAATATTGGATCCCAGTTCACTTTGTATTTTCCTCTTACAGACCTGGAATCAAAGATTGCTCTAAAAAGTCATGTTCCTTTTAGACACTAAGGTCTGTGTGATAGGCCCTCTGCTTCTGAGGTATAGTTGTGTCTAGGCCTTATGGTGGACATCTAGAATATGTGTTTTCTTACGTCGTATATTTATACTCATATTCCCATTACAGACTTACTGTTATGAGGATGTTTTTCCTTATGTTTGTATCTGTTATTTCTTATAATAAAGACCTTGATTCCTAATGACACTCATACATTATTTGTTTTAGCAACATTACCAGATGACTAATATTACTACCAACTGTTACTTTATTTAGTATTGAGTTTCTTTGTATTTCTTTTTGTCCTTACTAAGGATATAAAGTTCAGAGTTCTGTGCTCAAACATTTGCTTGAACTCAGTTTTTTCTCTGTGTGGTTATCAATTTGACATACTGTTAAGGCTTGTTTCTCTTTACACTTTAAGATTTGCTTTTTGAATTAACCTTTTTTTTTTTTTTTTTTTTTTTTTTGAGACGGAGCTTTTGCTCCTGTTGTCCAGACTGGAGTGTGGTGGCGCAATCTTGGCTCACTGCAACTTCCAGCTCCTGGGTTCAAACGATTCTCCTGCTTCAGCCTCCTGAGTAGCTGGGATTACAGGCGCCCGCCACCACGCCTGGCTAATTTTTGTATTTTAGTAGAGATGAGCTTTCACCAAGTTAGCCAGGCTGGTCTCAACTCCTAACATCAGGTGATCCATCTGCCTCGGCCTCCCAAAGTGCTGGGATTACAGGCGTGAGCCACCGCGCCCGGCCTAAATGCAGAAGCATTTGATAGTCTGAGCGCAAAGTAGGGCTGTATAAAACGGGTCAGTATCGTATCTGGATGCAAACAACCCAGGGTCACATTTCCTTGGAAACAGTAAATTTGAGTAGATGTGGAATATTGTGTCAGAAATCTTTTATTTGAAACTCAGCACCTGGGTTGTAAATTGTTACTGCTTGGTATCAAATAATTACATAAACCCTTCAGGTGAAAGTGGGATATTTCAGTCTTTCTGATATTTCTTACTGATACAGTTTCAAACAGCAAATTTCTTTTTTTTTTTTTTTTTTTTTTTTTTTTTGAGACGGGGTCTCGCTCTGTCACCCAGGCTGGAGTGCAGTGGCCGGATCTCAGCTCACTGCAAACTCCGCCTCCCGGGTTCACGCCATTCTCCTGCCTCAGCCTCCCGAGTAGCTGGGACTACAGGCGCCCGCCACCTCGCCCGGCTAGTTTTTTTGTATTTTTTAGTAGAGACGGGGTTTCACCGGGTTCGCCAGGATGGTCTCGATCTCCTGACCTTGTGATCCGCCCGTCTCGGCCTCCCAAAGTGCTGGGATTACAGGCTTGAGCCACCGCGCCCGGCCCAAACAGCAAATTTCTAATAACTGATTTTAGAGAACTAAGTTTCACAGTGCGTAAAAATGCAACAGTAACTCAAAGAAAAAAGTCATTAAAACTGCCTTGTTCCTTTTGTGGTAACCGTACAGCTGTTTTTTTTGTTTTTTGGGTTTGGGGTTTTAAGTTTTAAACTTTCTTTTTTTATTCCTGTGCTTACCCAACACAGCTTTTTAAACATCATAGTTATTATTCCTCTTTCATAAATGGAATGGCCTTGAGCGTATATGGAGTCATATTTTTTAATTTTTTTATATTTATATACAATATGATTGATTTTTGTATTTAGTTTGAGAGTTGTTTTTCACATTTAATGTGTTTTCTTCCACTTTTTCCCCACTGTAAAGTTAATATCTTACTCTGTGATTAAAAAGTTTCTAATAGGGAGATACTTCAAGACTAGGCAAGGATTCTGTTTTCATCTTACTATATGCCCACTAATTTTAGTATCCATTGATAATTATTATC